CTGAAACTGATCGCTGAGGCAACAGGGGATGTTGTCATGTCAGTTAGGGCTGCACGATTTGTGATGGCGGTGATCATTTTTGCACCACACGTTTATTATTTTTACCTATAATACTGTTAAAATCCTGTTTTTTTTGGGATCTGTGTCAAACAAACATATTTTCTTACATCTGGGGAATAAGATTTGCAGGCCAGGGCGTCTCTGCAGCACTACAGTACTTCATTATAAAGCTGTTTGTTACACATTTTACCTTTATTAAAACTGCAGCTAGATTTTGATATTTAGATTAATTATGAAGCCGTAATGTCAGCTACGCTTTTGCTGAACCAGTTCTATAGTAAAATAAGGTATTTTACTTTATGTTAACATTTGTTTTATTCACTCAGCACATACTCAAACACTTTATCAGATGACCCTGCCTGATGAACAATATTACTACTGTGGGTTTATGAAATTAAATTGTCACAGTAGCTCACATTGAGTCTGAAAACAGTCATTTGAAGGCAGGTGTAGGCTAGAACACCTGTTTCCTCTCCAGTATGAGGACATAAATGGAAAAAGATGTCCTCTCTTCACATTATTGGTATTTAGGTTTATAATAAAGCCAGTCACTAAGCCAGACTGGTTGATGTAAAGTTTAATTATCTTACCATCGGGGCTAAAAATGGTTGACATCATCATTAGTTACAGGAATACAGATATTGATGAATATAATGATTAAAACCACATTTATAATAATCAAATTTACCAGCACAGTTAACTGTGTTTCACTGTGAAGCCTCACAGTTTGTTCCTAACACACGTAAAGTGTCTGTAACACATTTTGTTTTTGTTTTTTATCACTATACTGTAAAACAATTCACAATTAATTATAAGATAAGATTTACTGAAGAGTTGATGAATGAGGATACAGAATTATTGCTCAGCACAGTACAATAACCAGAGCTGCCAACAACAATAAACTCACTACTCACAATATCCATTTAGGGAATAATCTATTCATTAATTTCTGTATAAGGACAAATATAAATGCAGAAGAACATTTACTGAATAGACTAATATTAGGTTTAACGTCTATAGTTTGAACTGGTCTTAGTTGTGTTTGTTTTCAGTGACATATAATGGATGATAATAACACAAGCCCGGGCCGGTGCTGTATTCCACAATGAGATGCGTCTATGTTTAGCCGTGGTGGACCAAACCAGCTGAACTTTAACACGTATGGCTGTGGCGTCTGACACTGAGTGGAACCAGATCGACTCAGCAGAGCAACAGGTGCTTCGGTGCAGTTTATTGCTCGTTCTCCCTTGTGAAATAGCAGCGTCAGTTTTCTGGACACACAATAAAATACACTGTCTGTCCGGCTCAGAAACGACCATTAACATGGACCTGAAGTGCAAGACGTTACCTGCAGTTTGACTCGGTGTGGGATATGTGTGAGGCTCGTGTGAAGGCTGCGTTTGTAGGATCTGTGTTTATTAGCCTGTGTTGCTATTTCTGGTCACAGCAGAGCACCGGGCTGCGGTCGACACTCTGCAGCCAGCTGTGGGGTGAGACGGCCGGGTGTCAGGTTGGAGGCTCAGATAGGCCTCGCGCAGAAATGGCAAGGGCTTGGCTTTTTAAGCGTGAGCCGGGATAGTGCCCTCAACTTTTCCATTGTCCTATTGTCTGAATGGAGCTCTTGTTGTTGGACCCGGAGCTCTCGGGCTTAAAGAGCAAGTTAACCTGCTCACACTCGAGGCTCAGACCTAATGTTTGCTTTTACCTCACAGTTTCCTTTCATGTCTCAGCCACTAAAAGAGCTCTTTAACAAGTTCAACATGTGTAGCTACCAGATGCTTCACCTTCTTAAGAATATTATAAACAGTTTTATTAAATACAGGTCCGAGAGTGCAGCGTCTGCCGGTCAGTTATTGCTTTAAATGTTGTTTTATTTTGTAGGAATGAGCAGCCTATCTAATAAATGAAGAAGCTTTTTTCATTTTCTGTAGCATTGAACAAAACGTGTAGCTGCAAAGGTTTTAGATACAGGCTTCTCATTTGCTGTGAGCCTTGAACATTTCACAGAGCAGCTAGCAGAGCCACGCTGACAAGAACAAGTTCCCTCCATCCATCAGAAACTGTATGCATTGTGCTGTGAGTGGAAACATTTGCTTACAGTTCCTGCTTCACTCGTCTTTGAACCTAATAAGTCTCGAGTCTTGGTGCGGCGGCGTTCTCCTGACAAGGCAATACAGTTATGCAGCAAGAAATGATAAGGGCCTTACAGGTAAAAGAGCAACTTAAGGAAGTATTGCACTTAGAGAAACAAGAGGTGAAACCAATCCTGCAAATGAGTGCCCGCTCTCTTTCTTTGGTCCTAGTTTCTTTGTTTGATCTCAAATTAAAACACAGGCCTTGTGGGTCTACTAGCTGATTTATTTCCACCTTATCTGATCGGCCTTTCATGGATTTCCTTGCATTGTTGTGCAGTAAAATAGGCCCTTTCGGGTGTCCTCGTGCCGTCCTCATACCAAGTTGGGCAAACACGGCTGCACTGCAAACAAGTTTTGTAGTGCAGAGAGCTGAAGAAGAGAGCTGCTCCACACACACACACACACCGGTCTTTCACTTCCAGGAGTTGTGACCTCCATTTTACCTATGAGTCATCAAGGAGCCTCTGGACCAGGATATGTGCAAACTATAGTTTCCTCTGAAGTGAGCACCTATAGAGGAGAGTGGGGAGGGTTGAGAGCATGGAAATCCCTTATCTTAACAAATATGATGTGTTTTCCCAACATAAATCAGTCAGAGTAGAAGAGTTCAGGGTTTCCAGGTAACCGTTCAGCTGCAGCTTGTCTCACGATCAATGGAGTTAGGAAATGACAGCCTGAATAATAAGCACTAAATATGACGGCCTTCTTCTGTGAAACTAGCATGAATAAACTAAACAATATATAGTAATATATAGTATGGTGCTTTACCGACTAGTGTCTTACAGTGACAGTGTCTTAACACTTGTATTTACTGTGTTCGAACCCTCTTACAGTTGTTGGGGTGTCAAGCTTGTCCTCCACCACACAAGTTGCTTTCCAGGGGGGAGGCCGCAGTTGACAGCCAGTGTTGTGTTTTTAACGTGGGTTAATTTTAGACGCAGTCCTCTCCCTGCAGTGAGATTAGGTCCCATTCTGGTCTGCTCTGACCTCACAGAGTTAGAAGCTAAGAGGGATTTGGCTGTCGCTGCTCAGACGGTTTATCTTCCCTGTTGATGTCAATGGTCTGTGTGAGGAAGAAAGCACTAAACAAGAGGGCTATAGAAATTTGGATACTAGTGGAGTCAATGAGTTTGGCTTTGGTCGGAGCCTCTGCCAGCCGCGGTGTAGTCGAACCTTCGTGGCTTTGAGGAGATCTTCCTGCTTGACGGCCGAACTTGTGGTCGGCGGAACATGCGTGGACTGGTTGCTTCAACTGATCTAGAAATGGAGTTGGCTGAAGCTGATGAAGTTATGGTAAGGCAGAAAGAGTAGTAAAGTTTTGTCTTATTGGTGCTTATTTTTATCATCTTCTCCTTTTAGGCAGTTTCAGCACCTTACTAAATTGAAACGAATTGCATTGAGCGATTCAAGTGTTTGGTTTGATTGCTTTCTTTTAAAGTCAAATGTAATAGTAAAGAAGAATGAAGAGTGAATGATGGGTTGAGACGCAGATCTCGTGGTAGTCACAGAGTGGGGATGTGCTGTTTTTCACATCTCATTATGTCCTGGTTTTATGAATGGAATAAGCCCATTTCCACTCGCTTTAACTCAGAGGCTTTCAGAGAGCGGTGAGTTCTGGTTTACCTTTACGTTTTACTTGTTCTGTTATCTGGAGTCGCATACAGAGTTTGATTTGAGTGAGTGCACTTGCAATAATAACATCAAGGGAGGCCACAGATGTTGAATAACCATGCATACGCATAACTAATGGAGCAATTATTAGTACCAAAGTACAGAGGCTTATATTTTGGTTTGTTTGAGCTGTGACTCAAGGGTTGAAATGAAATGTTGTCTTTTCAGAGTTGTAACCATGTAACACAGATAAAAGGTTACGCTGTCTGACTTCAAACTTAAAATCAGAAGATATTTTCAAACCAAAGATCTTCGATTGATCAACTGTGTAATAAAATGGAATAAACTGATTATTCACAGACGTATGCCGTGATCAACTAGTCACCATTGTATTCATGATGAACTTTAAAGCTGAAGCCCTTTTAGGAAGTGACTTCTAATCCCTCTTTAGTTAAGGTGATGACTTTAAGCATGCAGGTAAATAGTGACTGACAGCAGCAGTGAAAACACCATGAACAGAGGCCGCTCAAGTTCAAAACACAACACTACACTGCGTTCACCTTCACCTTACTCAGGCCGGGCAGCCAGCACTGAAACTGTGAACCTCATGTGGTCAGAAGATATGTTTTTACTTCAGATGCAGTCATTCTGTTTGAAATATGTTCATTCATTGTAGAAGTTGTAAATAGGACACTGATGATCACACATTTTGGTTATTATTATGAAAAACGTAGTGAAACCAGCTGTGACTAAGTTTGTATGTCCTCGGTTTTTATGGCTTCCTTGCTGCAGTCATAAGTTGGTAATGCAAGCGTTTATGAGGCAATAGCTTCAGCTGTTCTGAAACATTGAAAGTTGGTGCAGTGCTTTGTGTTCTGCCAGTTTATATTGATGGTCCTGTTGGTTAAACACTAAAAACATGCAAGAATGCACATGTCTTATTTGCTGACTGTTACTGACCTCTCCCTGTCCTCTCCTCCTCTTTCTCTGCTATCCCATTTCCCTCTTCCTTCTCCTCCTCCCTCACTGACCTCCTCTAAATTGCATTCTTCCTCTCATCTCCTCATTTTCCTCCTCCTCCCCCTCCTCCT